ATATCCGATGGGGACGAGGATGGGGATGAAAATCACATATCCGACAGGTACGGGTACGGGGACGGGAACAGATTTGACTCGCGGGGACGGGGACGGGGACGGGTATCATAAAACCCGTACCCGCCCCGCCCCGTTGCCATCCCTAATTAGAACGAAATTGAGTTATACCAGTTGCCCCTTTTTACTTATTTTTATTATATATATAAGCCTCAGGAGGATGATCAGAGGGGCGCCGAGGGAGCTGGGCACGAATTCGCTCGTTTTCAGCGCGTAGCGCCACTAGATCTGCTTCATTGGCGTTCCGCATCGCAGCTAGGTCGGTTTCGTGCTGGGCACGCATGTTTCGCATATCGGCGTCGTGTTGCTGCCGCATCTGTTCGACCTGGTCGATCAGTCTCCTCAGTGTGGCTTCGTTGTCCATGGCAGTTGAGTGGTTTGCGTCGTCTGTTGCGCGTCTGCTATGGCTTCTGGTGAATACCATAAGCGTGGTCGATAAGAGCTGTCATGGTGGGCGCCAAATGTTCTTACCGGAAATCTACTGTAGAGATGATCCTCCGAGTAAGATTGGTGAGCCTCCTTCGCTGGTACGCTTGATGCTCCAAGATGGGGGTGGTACCTGCAAAAGAGACTCCGATACTAAAGTTAAGGTTTGTATGAGTGTGAGTCTCGTATAAATAATGCACGTACCTTGGTGTTAATTAGGGTTGTGTTGGGCCTTGGGCCCGAGATCAGTTATGATCTGATTAGGATAACGAGCTGACGTCACACAGCGCGTGTCCGAAGTCGTCCTGCGCTGTGGTGCCGGGCTCGGAGCTCGGCTTCGCAGTACAGATAGTACATACCTTAACCAATCTAATTTTAAAAAACATAGATTTGTACTATTGTTACAAGTTAAATTTATGTAACTTTCAAGACAAAAAAAAAGTATGGTAAAGGCTTAAAAAAATAGGCATCGTAATTCATTACAAGTTATAGTTACTTACATTAAATTTTATTTTTATAAGTTACATACCTATATTCTATCAATTATTGTTTACTCTTATTTATTTAAGAGATCAACTCATATATATATATATATATAGTATGAACAATATTTTATACGAGAATGTTTTTAGATATTTTTTTTTGATGAAAAGTTTTTTAGGAATTCTTTTAATTTCATATATAATTCATTTCTTATTTATCATAATTATTTATGAAGTAAATTTTAATATTTTTAAAATAAAATTAATAAATAAAATAATCTAGTACTACAATATAAATTATTTATCATAAATTTAAAATATAATTTATATATTTAAAATATCTACTTATTCAAACTTAAATATAATTTATATATTCAAGCATAATATAATTAAGGAGTTGAATATAAGTAAATAATGTATTAAACTTAAGATCGAATCAAACTTAACTTATCTTCGAGTCGAACCAAATTAGTTGAAGGTGAAACCTAAAACACTAATATGAAAAAGAATAATGATTAATTATTTATATAAATTATTTTAAATTTTAGTCTTATATAATAAATATTTAAATTGTATATTACACATGTGTATACCAATAATAATATATGAACAGACAATAATTTTTCTTTTGTTATGTTACTATCTAATCACAATTAATTTATTATTTTTTATAATAATTATTTAAAATAAAATAAAAATCTATTACATTCTTTTACTTTAAACTACCATCACAAATAATAAGAAAGTCTCACTCAATTAATATAAACTCCTTAATATAAGTCCCGTCGATACAAATAAAAAAAAAAAAAAATCCTAAATCAGATTATGAATTTGTCTTCATTAATTATTTATTTCTTCTCTAACTATTGTTAATTTCCTCTCATTTGTAAGGAGAAATTAAATAAGGCATGATTCACGCATATTTTATTTATCTTCTCTTAAACAATTTTTTTTTATTCTCTCTTTTATGTTTTCTCTTTATTTTATCTCTACCAAACACACTATAACAAATTCCAAGCGTGTGGTTCAGCGGTAGAGGTTGATCCATCCTTAAGCAAGGTTAGGGGTTCGAATCCTGCTTTGTGTATGTAGCCGTGTTAAATCTTGGGGTCTCCAAATTATGTAGCATTGCTCTAAATTAAATTACTTAATCTTTGCTTGCAATGTTAAATATTCAAATTACTAAACTGTTCTCTTTAGCAAAAATTGAATACTCAAAAACCCATTTTATTTTGTACAAAAAAGAATGCAATTTTTTTTCGAATAAAAAAGTATAATATCTTCTAAAATCAAGGTAAAATGATAAAATCCTAAAATCAAATAATTTAATTTCTAAAACAAATAATAATGTCCAAAAAAAAAAAAAAGAAGAAAAAGTAGCGAGAATAAGTGAGTATTTAAAGGACAACCTAAGGGTCGAAGTCGGACAGTGGAGCTATCAGAAAGCTGGAATAGTCGGATAAGGAGGGTAAGGGCGGTCGCACCGTTCAAACCCTTATTCTCTTCTCTTTTCATTTCATCACTCTCTTCCTTCGCAATTTCATTTTCACTGTTTTCGCTTTAGGTTTTTCATCCTGTACATATGATTGATTCTTCAACATTTTACATTTCCATGCCAGTATTTTACTCATTATTGTTCTCAATTCACCTTACATTTCGTAATTGTGCTGAATCTTCGGTTAATAACATCTATTGTTTTAGTCGGTTAGGTTTTCATGGTGCCTTGTTGAATATGCACTGAAACGCAATTATTTTCTTCTTATAATTGTTTTGAGTTTTGTCCTCTTTTCCGATGATGTGTTTGCAGAACATCCTTCAATGGCGTCCCATATTACCCGTGAGTGGTCAGGAATCAATACATTCGCACCTGCTACGCAGACTAAGTTGCTTGAACTCTTGGGAAAACTTAAGCAGGAGGTTTTGTTTTATTTATCCTCTTAAATTATGCCTAATTTTTAATGCTTATTATTGTTGATTTTATTTTACTTCTGTATACATTTTTTTACTGCATGCGAATTTATGTTTGTTTTGGTGTAGAATGTGAACTCCTTGACTATTCTTGTGATGGGAAAAGGGGGTGTTGGAAAATCTTCGACTGTGAACTCCATCATTGGGGAAAGAGTGGTTTCGATTAGTCCTTTCCAGGTATGTGCCGAGACTTTCCTGTGGTGGTTTATAGGGTGGTTATTGCGTTGTTGTGCCATTATTATGTTTGCTTGTGAGTGATGTTTTTCTTATTATGTTGCAAAGTCGGAAGGGCCGAGACCTGTGATGGTGTCACGATCAAGGGCTGGTTTTACATTGAACATTATTGACACTCCTGGTCTCATTGAAGGGGGATACATCAATGATATGGCACTTGATATAATAAAACGGTATGCTTAATTGCTTATGTTTAGCATGTAACACTCCACCTTTAAAGCATGTATTTGGTCTTTAAACTGATGTACTTTATCTCTTCTTTCAAATACTCACCATTTTTTCCTTCATGTTTTGTGGGAATTTGTGTTTGTTTGAGTAGTTTCCTTCTGAACAAGACCATAGATGTGCTGCTTTATGTGGATCGCTTGGATGTGTATAGAGTGGACAACTTGGACAAGTTGGTTGCCAAAGCTATAACAGATAGTTTTGGCAAAGAAATATGGAACAAGGCTATAGTAGCACTCACACATGCCCAGTTCTCTCCACCAGATGGATTACCTTATGATGAATTCTTCTCTCAAAGATCTGAGTCTCTCTTGACGGTTCTTAGGTCTGGTGCCCGAATAAAGAAAGAAGCCATTCAGGTATTTTTCTCTGTAACTTCAATCATATCCTTCAAATGCATATATGTTTGACAAAATTGTATAAGCATCAGAAGTTAAAGCATTTATATTTCAGTGCTCTGTTCTTTGAATGGGCACGTATTTATCAACTCCAAATAGTGGGGCAGACCAGCCAACCCCAAAACTGCTATAGCAGGATGGCAGATGGTGGGATGATTGGAATTTTGAAGATTGTATATACAAGCTAGATAATATATATTACACATATATAAATGCTCAAATATAAAAAGTTACACAGCGAAAGATGTATTTGTAATTAAAAATCTAAAGTCACATTAAAAGTATATAGATGAAAGAAATTTAAGCCTCCAAGTGGATAATGTCATCTATTTGAGGTGATGGACTCTGATAGATCCTGACTGCCTATTAAGGTTTATGTGAGGAGGAAGAGGCATAAAGGGAGATCATTCCCTTATAACAGGTCATAACCTTGTAACAACACTAACAGTTGTTAATTAGTTGTAGAACAACAAAGTGTATTAAATAGACTTGAGGGGAAAGAGGGGGGCATAAAAAATTGCAAGAAAGGAATTGGGAGAGTGCTGGTCTCTCAAATACATGTAAACCTAAGCAATCAGATCCACAACCAATAAAGAAATGCCCATTTTCTTATTTATAATCCATTCTCTATCGGACTCCTACCAAGCCATTGGCGTATCTCTTTCTCAGTATAGATTTTTCTTATATAATATTTCATATCATATAGTTAGCATATTGACTGTTAATCTTGTAGTGGAATTGGGATTCAAACCATGGATTTAGGAAACCTATTTTTTGAATCGTTAATCAAATCATATTGTGAATCATAAGATTCACGATCAATGATAAAATATAGTATATACAACTAACAAAGACAAAAGCACAAATTCTCAAATAATAATAACTATAAATCATTAATCTAAAAGCATTTCAACATGAAAAACATTAAAAGTCAAAACATAATTTGAACTAAATAAAATAAAATATATGAGTTCTGATTATTTGTATACTTAATATGCTTTCAATACAAAATATATGTTACAAATTTTCAGGATAATTAGATAATTTAAAAAATACTATTTCCGGGCCTTATTATAATACTCAAATAACTAATTCACCATGATTAAGAAATGTTAATTTTTTGGGTTAAGATCGATAAATGTCATCAACTTTTACTTCTTTCCAAAATTACGCCTAAATTAATGAGACACTTAATATATGTTTCCAAAGTTTTTGCATTCCAAGAACAAAAATAGGAGATTATTTGTATTTTAAGAGATATACATTACATGAATTTCACTTATTTATTGAACTAAAAAATGTATTTAATAAGGGCATTTTTGTTAAGTAAAAATTAATGCTTGAAATATAATAAATTGGGTCTTATAAATAGGACTAAACCAATTTGAAAATTTGAGTCCTATAAAAAGGACCGGCGGAAGTATCTTTAATAATTTTATAAAAAGTAATATATTTCTAAAAAACCATAACATAAATATATAATTTTTGAGACTTGCTCAAGATATAATTCAATTTTGAACTCAAGAAAAATACGTTAGACAAGGTCATGCAACGGTGACATACTCAATGAAGAGAGGCAGAAGCAAGTTGTTCTCACAACCTGTTGCCTGGTACAACAAGTGAATGCTGTAAGCAACCTGTTGCCCATTACTTGGTGTGATCACAAGTGAGCGAAGACAGTGCTCATTACCTGGTCGGTTGCAAGCAAAGGAAGACCCGTGATCACCTTTGGCCTATTCTCTGTCTTATCTAATTTTTTGAAAGGATTTTTTTTTTATAGCATTTTTAAAACTGTGTTTAGCACGATTCAGCCCTGTTCAGGGACCAACCTGTTGCTGAAGAATTGCACAAGTCATGTGCGGGATGGACTTTGTAAGATTTAGACACAATCATTTGATGCACAATTCATATCACCAAACCAATGAATTGTATTGTACGAATTGTTCAATACTAATTCCATGAATGTAATATGTATATATATGGTAAATAATGTAATAAATACCTCCTCTGGTCCTTATTAGGTCCTAAATTTCGAATTGGTTTGGTCCTTTTTATAAGACTCAAATCTATTTTGTCTCAAGCATTAATTTCTTTACAAAAGTACCCTTATTAAATGCATTTTTTGAGTTCAACAAGTATGTGGAATTCATTTAATTTATGTCTCTTGAAATACAAATAGTCTCATTTTTTGTTCTTGGAATGCAAAAACCTTGGAAACATACATTAAGTGTTTCATTAATTTAGGGGTAGTTTTGAAAAAAAAATTAGAAATTTAAGACATTTATTGATCTTAACTAAATAAACCTAACTTTTCTTAATCTCGGTGAATTAGTTATTTAAGTCTTATATTAAGGACTGAAGGTAGTATTTTATAGTAAGTTATTGTATTTGTCATGAATCAATTATGTTTAAAATATAATTTTAATATTTTTCTTTATGATTTTTACCTATGTACGTATCCTTTGTTAGTTTATCCTTTACATAGTATCATTTATTTGTGGGCTATGCATAAATGTATGATTCCAGTTTGACCCTGGCTCAACCATAGACCAGCCTCAAAACCTTGAACCTCTTTCTTTACCTGTTCATAGATTTGTCTGGTTTTAAAATAGAGGCCCAGCATAAACATAGTTAATAGTGTACTATAGCAGCAGCATAGCAGTGTGAAGCAGCCAGAGGCTGCTATTCTAGCCTCCATAGTGCAGAGTTTTTTGCATGATAGGAGTCTAAGCCACTGAATAGAAGTCTCCCAAAATTTGTGGTTGTTGCTGCCACTACTGTTGACCAAGGAAATTGCCTTCATTACACCTATTTTGGGACAGTGGTATTTTTATTATATATACGTATTTCAGTCTTTATATGAAAGAAAAGGGTGAGACCCATTCTATTTCTGCTGGAGAACATGAGACTAAACAGCAGCACTGACGAAGAGCACCTCCATTTCCAGAAGACCTACTCAACTTTTTGCTGAACATTTACCCTTTTTCTGTCCTTCTCTTCTGTTCTCTCCAACAGAGATCTCTGTCCCTGTTCTCTGTCCAACAAACCAACACAGGCCTTTCATTACACTGTTCTGTGCTTTACCTCTTTTCTTGTCTTCTAAGTTCTAATGAGTTTTGATCTCATGACTGTTCTCCACTTGTTTATTCCTCTACTAATGTTGTTGACAGCTTGTTCGTGTTTAGCTTAAGGCTGAATTTTTACTATTAATTATAAATGCATTTTATTCTAGGTAATCTTTATTTTTGAGCCTTTATATGTCAATATGTGCAGTATACATTTTTTAACTTGCACTATAATATTCAAAATAGTGGTTGTCCAATTACCTGCTATCCTGCTATAATAGTTCTTTTACTGGCTGCCCTGCACCACTATGTGGGATTTTGATACTATAAGCATAAATAATTGTTGCGAAACATTCCCTTTGTGTTGGTTCTTTGTGAAACTTTCCCTTTGTGTAAATTACTTTCCTTGTTGGTTATAAATATTTTATATTTATTTTTCTTAGAACGAAAGTTATGCCCAGCTTTACTTTATGCCTGTTTATTCCTTTTTAAAAAATAATTTCTATCTGTTGCTTTTCATTCATACCTCTTTTTCTGTGTGTATGATTAATATTTTTCTTGCTTTTATATCTTGCTTTTTTGGGTTAAAATCCTGGGCTTCATAGTGATATATTGCAAGAATTGGAACAGAAGCAATGTGAGACCCAAGTGTATCAATTAATAAATTTTAAAGATAAAAAAAAGACTAATGAAGGATGCCCCTTGGATAGGTAACTTGGATTCATAGCTTATCCTTATTTTGTTATGGGAAAGTGTTGTTTTTTTGGCTTTTCTTTCATTTTAAACTCTACTCTTAATTAACACATGGTTTCATTCTGGGGATTTATTTGATAGCTATTCTGTGGATTGAGAGCATCATTCTGTTGTGTAAATTACTTACCTTGTTGGTTGTAAACTTGTATATTTGTTTTTTTCTTGGAAAAAAGTTATCCAGCTTTACTTTTTGTTTATATGTTCCTTTTTTTTTTTATAAATAATTTTAATGTCAAGAATTGCTATCTGTTGATTTCCACACATTTTTTTTGTGTTATAACTAATGATTTTCATGCTTATATGTTGCTTTTTTTTTTGGGTAAAATCATAGGCTTCTTCTATTCCTGTTGTTTTGGTCGAAAACAGTGGGAGATGCAACAAAAATGAAAGTGATGAAAAGGTCGGAGATCTGCTTCATTGCATTTATTTTAATTCATTTATCTTGCTTGGTCTGATTGAGGGAATGTGTGTTTCTTGGTGTCAGGTTCTTCCGAATGGGACTGCTTGGATTCCTAACCTAGTCCAAACAATCACAAATACCGCATTGAACAAAAGTGCGTCTATTCATGTTGACAAGGATTTAATTGAAGGGCCAAATCCGAATCAGAGAGGAAAATTATGGATTCCTGTGGTGTTTGCTCTCCAAGTACGCTCTTGAACTTGAAGTCTTATTTTGTTTTCTCATTAAACTGACAGAGGAGCAACGATTTCTTTCTCTTCTCTTGTTTATTTTATTGTTCCTGTCTGCAGTATTTCCTTCTCATCAAGCCAATAAAAGGACTGATTGAGAGGGACATTGAAAATGAGAGAAAGCCAGCATGGGAGAGACGTGATGCCGGTTTCCGGAAGAGAGATTTTTATTAGATGTGCACTTGAGTGCCGATGAAATTCCATTGATGTTTAGCTTCCTCTGCTGACACATTTGTCCATTGTCTTTTCCTTCTACTGTATTTGCTAGTATTCTGCGGCATAGGAATTTGTTTGACTTGAGAGGATTGACTGTATGTTGGGAAGTTGTTTGCCTTTGCATGATTTGTTTGTTAGTAGTTAAATGTCTTGTATACGTAACTCTAGATATGGCTACCATCGTTGATATCTTGATATCCTATTAAACTAGCCCGAAATAATGATATGAATATTGAAAACTACTTCATAGCACAACAGGGATTACGTGATAATGCTGGGGCTAATTTACACAACCTTTTTGGTTTTTCTTTAGTGCCTTCAAAAATAAGGGTTGGTTTGATTTCAACCGAGTGTTTAAATTGGAATCTACCCGCGAAATGTTCTGATTTTAGGTACTTGGTTTGGTTTTGTTTATCAACAGAACTTTTGGTCTCACATCTTTATGGCATTTGCTTCCTGCAACTCAACACGGATTATTAGAATTACGATGAAACTTGGATTCCCAACGACGATATAGCATATGATCAAGGGTTTAGATTATTTTGAAGTTTAATAGATTTGGTTTTTATAAAATTTATTTATAAAGATTAGGAAATAAATTTTAACAGACACAAATGTGTTATTTGTCCTGGTTCAAACAATCATGTATTTTTCGTATAATAACTTGTATTTTCTGAAATGTTATTTTAACTAGCGTTTCAGCTCTAAATAAAAAAACTGTGTCTTTTTTCTTTCATTTTCATTTTTATTTTTTTTATAATCCTCGATATTTTTCACAATCTAGGTGATATTTAAAAAAGCAGCGAAGGTGTCTTTTATTTTTAAATTAAGAAAGTAAATGATATTTTTAAAAGCAAGAGATTGAAATGTTGAATTTGTTTTACTATATTTATGTGTTTATTATTGTAAAACAAAATTAAATTAGAAAACATGTGTTATTAAAAATTAACAAAATTATTTTCAAATATAAAATAATCATTTGGTTTTGACTTTTAAAATATATATTTATACGATGTGGTTTTTAACAAATTGATAAAATGGTAAGCAATTTGCGTAGATGAAAATTTTCATTAAAAAAATTCGGAGAAAGTAACATTTTACGAGTGTCCAAATTTATATTTTACGAAGAGAAAATATCCATATATCTGAAAGAAAAAAAAAATTTAAGAATCACATCAACCTAATTATCGAATTTAAATATATATATATATATATATATATATATATATATATGAGAGAGAGACACACACTCTCAGTATATC